AACCGCTTAGAGAGGGCTGAAAGCCCTATGAAGCGGTATATAAGTCTAACTGCTATTGCTATTGCTATTCCTGTTTTTCTACTTGCATTTTTATGTGCTTTCGAACTGCTAGGTTGGCAGAAGCTGGGACAAGTCACGGGAGATCACTCTGTTACGCGGTGCTAGGGATTCGAACCGCCAAACTGTCAACCTTTCTGATTGACAAGCTCAGCATCTTAGCCACTGAGCCACCTTCCGGCAGTGATAGTGAGAACAATTAACCAGCCTCCAGAAGTTGTGGTTGCTCCATCAGAAGAGCTTTTCAATTGGAGATCGGACAATGGCCCGGAACGACATAGCTCTCCTGCTTGAGGAGAGGGTTGGACTAGAAGACCTCCAAGGTACCCCCTTTCCAGCTCTAGTCTGGAAAGGTTTCACCTTCTCCCCATTCTTGGTAAATCTCAAAATCGGCCACAGGAGGGCCTCTGCAAAGGATCTCTCTGGAAATGTCAGTCGAAAGCCACAGCTTGGCTGAGGGCAACTTGTCACGGAGGAATGTCTGAAGGCGATTGCAGGCAAGCAAGATTGAAATGAAAAAAATATAAACAACACCTCTTCAAATCCCTCCCCCCCAAATAACCGATAAATTAAGCAGATAAGCAAAGCACCAGTGTTTTGCTGACTTAAAATCTCTATAGGAGCAAAATGCTGGTTTCTTAAGAGCCTGATACCAAACCAGCAAAATCCGTGTTTAGCTTTAGCCTCGTCTCAATTCTGAAGTAGAGTTTTCTTGCGGTTTTGGATTCAAACGAAAGCAGGTTTTGTTTGTGTGTGTGAAATGGATTAATTGTAAAGGCTTTTGCATTCTGGTCCCTCTTGAGGAAGGCTCTGCGTGCTACAAGGAACGCAGTGGCTCAGTGGCTAAGACGCTGAGCTTGTCAATCAGAAAGGTCAGCAGTTCAGTGGTTCGAATCCCTGGCACCGCGTAACCGAGTGAGCTCCCGTGACTTGTCCCAGCTTCTGCCAACCTAGCAGTTCGAAAGCACATTTAAAAAATGCAAGTAGAAAAATAGGAACCAACTTTGGTGGGAAGGGAACAGCGTTCTGTGTGTCTTCATCATTGAGTCATGCCGACCACATGACCACGGAGACGTCTTCGGACAGCGCTGGACTCTTCAGCTTTGAAATGGAGATGAGCACCGCCCCCTAGAGTCGGGAACGAATAGCACATATGTGCGAGGGGAATCTTTACTTTTACCTGCGTGTTACAACAGACAACAGTAGCTTTGTGGAAGCTGTGGGTGGAAACCACTACTGGATTCTCATCCCAACAAAGGAAATTGCAGCCGTTTGGATAAACCCAAGCTGAGCAAGCCAACATTGCATTCACACAACCCATTATTTGGAAATAAACACTTGATGCCCTGGTCCCCAGAAGGGGGTTCAAGGGGATTTTATGTCTAGGAAGAGCTTCTGGTTTGATGTCTTCCACCCTTGTCTCGAAACTGAGGGGCGGGGGACTTCAGCTGCCCCATTCCCAGACCCCCAGTGAGACCACAACACACAGAATCCCCAGCTAGCCAAGAGGATAGCATGTCATCTCTTGTGGGAAGCCTTGGGGAAGGTCGGTTCGGACGGGAGGCGTGTTCCTCCCTCTTCTGGGCTGGCTTTGGTTGAGAAGCGACCCGGTTCACACGAGGCGGCTTTGTTTCCTTCGGGGAGAAAGGCGTGGAGAGGAGGACAGAGTGGGTGGGGGGCAGAGCAGAGAAGCCCGGGGTGCTGCTCTCTGGCGCCTCCTCTCGGCCAACGACAGGGCGGGGCCCGGCCAGGCTGCGACGCGTGTCTTCTGTAACGTGGGAACGCGCCCCTCGCTTCTTTTTTTCTTCTTCCTTTCTTTTTCCCCCTCTTCTTCCGCCTCTTCCTCCTCCTCTTCCAAGCCATGCTCCAGCCGCGGCCGCTCGGTGGCCGCTGCCTCTCGCTCCTCCCCTTGTGGGGAGCGGTGGCTTGAGATTCCCCAGCCAGTCAGCCAGGCGGCAGAAGGCAGCCCCGCTCCCCGAGCAGGCGGCGGCGGCGGCGGCGGCGGCGGCGACCGCCTTCTAAGCCCTCCCCTCCCACCGCCGGCCAGTCCTCCTCGCAGCGCGGCGCGGCGGCTGGGCGCAGAGGCTGCCCGGCTCGCCCGCCCGCCTGGCCGCTGTGCCCCATGCCTTCCTCGCCCCCCTCGGCTTCCTCTGCCTCCTCCTCCTCCTCCTCTTCCTCCCCGCCGCCTCTGCAGCCCTGCCCCGGAGCTTTCGCCTAGCCCGGCGGAGGAGAAGCGGGGGCGGCGCCTGGGCTCCGGCGGTTCGTCCGCGACCATGGATCTATTCGACTTTTTCAAGGACTGGGATCTGGAGCAGCAGTGGTAGGTCGGCGGAGGGCGGCTGGGGAGCAGGCAGGGGAGGATGGGTTGGGGTGTCAACGCGGGGAGG